CCTGCATCACTTCGGGCTTTCCTCCCACATTAAGCTGACACGCCGTGATATAACTGGAATACTGTTAAAAGCGGCGTTAAACCCAACTCACTCACTCACTCATGGGACAAATGCCACCCTATCTAAATAAAATATTTATGTTACATTGAACAAGCAGATTTTGTTTCAAATATATGGCAATATTTTTTATGAGTTTCATTTCGCTAATAGTTCACTGCAATGTTATATTACCGCAACCGTGTGGGATCCAAAAAATGTGAAAATTAAGTTTCTAATAGCAGCAAACGAACATGCGTTACCCAGTTGTGGCTGCCGTTTTTATCCTGTGATTTCAACATATCAGAACCTGATTTGATTATCGATAACTATCCATAAACAACAGCCTGCACCACTACTTTACACATCGACTAAATAATAAACACATGAGTAGGTTCTATTTACTTAGCCAAGTACAGCATTGGTATCAAATATCAAACAAATCTATTACATTCATATATATCTCTTGATTTCACGTGTGGAAATCAGAAATACGAAATATGATGTATGACTGAATTAGGCTTCCATAGTTTCATGAACGCAAATTTGTCGAGATACCACAAGGAAAGCGTGCTTTACGTGTTGCTGCAGTTCCCCTACCCTATAAATAGTGAAATTCAAATTTCAGACACGTGGTTGCATTTTGCTCCTGTGTGAGATTCCCCTTCCATTAGGGGTTGAAAATCAGCCATGGTGAGGAGAAAGTTAACAAACGCTGAAAGATGGCAAGTGATAGGCATGAAAAATGCTGGCATGTCATGCAGGGCAATTGCAAGACAAATGGGAAGTCACCACAGTGTTATCACTCGATTGTCAAACATGGTCAAACCAATGATGTCAATGACAGGCATAGGTCTGGTAGGCCAAGAAAGACCTCTAACAGAGAGGATAGACGTCTTTTCAGGATAGTCAGACGAAATCCTTTTGCCACTTCAACAGATTTAAGACTGCAGTGGATTACCCATCAGAGACTCTCGACGATGACCGTAAGGCGTCGCCTCAGAACGCCAGAAGACCAGTAAAACGTCCTCAACTGCCTGAGAGGCACATGCGGAATCGTCTGATATGGTGTCGTGCCCGTAGTCGATCGAACATAGCCAACTGGAGAAGGATCCATTGGTCTGACGAGTGTCGAATGCTGCTACGAACTGTTGATGGTCGAATACGCGTTTGGAGGCAACGTAACACTCGTTTTGCATCAATGAACATCCAGAAGGCCTTAGCATGTGGCGAGGTGTCTGTCATGATATTGGGTTGTGTTTCCTTCGGCTGCAAACTTCCGCTGGTGACAATTCGTGGAAACCTGAATGGCCAACAATACCAAGATGCCGTTCTTCGACCAGTGGTAGTCCCTCATTGAGACAACCATCCTCTTCAGACAAGACCTATTTACATGGACGACAATGCTAGACCATACAGATCTCGGGCAGTATTGGCTTATTTGCGTCAAGAAGCTATTGCCACTCTTCCTCGGCCGGCCTGTAGTCCGGATCTTAATCCGATTGAGCATCTCTGGGACATTCTTTGCCGGAAAATCAGACATCATGATCCCCCAGTTCAAAATCTCGCTGGACTTGAAGCCGCACTTCATGAAGAATGGATCCGTTTGCCTCAGAGAAGCATTTAACGACTTGTAATGAGTATGAGGCGTAAGGTTGAAGCTGTGGTCAATGTCCGTGGATCATAAATACGTTACTGACGTTTCTGTCTTGCAATAGACTCTGCACTCCCTAGGGTGTCTATGTGACACCTGATATGGTCTGCTGATATCATGACAGTTACATGACAAAAAAAGTTTTTCAATGTTTTCTAATCCTTCAATTTCTGGTCTTCGGTAAAATTCCATTCTGCTCATATACTTTTGGAACACAAGATAAACTTGCTTTTGGACAACTTTGCATCACATGAGGTTTACATATACGGCGTATAACAATTGTACATCTCGTTATAAAAGTCATCATTAAGTGCCAAAAGTAACAGCTCACAAATATGGTGGGTGGCGCTTAACTTTTGTGCATGTGTATAGATATATAAAATGCATCCATGTCGACACGGCTTCTCTTCTCTTGGTCAAGCGTCGAAAAGTATTCCCTCTCAAGTCGGAGCATGTTTAACGATCCTCCAAACTATAATGAAAATCAGCCTTGTTCAGCAATAGTAAGACCATCTTACCTGCTCCTTCTGCTGTCGAGAATACCATCATCAAGAGTTAAAACCTATTCCCTTTGCAGCAGACATATGTTAAACCAGTAAAACAGTAATTTAATATCAATTCTCATAAGGCAAACTGACACAAGTTCTTACCACATACTTTGTGTTGTAAACTTTATCGGCATTGTGTCAAACCCACATCATCAGAGAACTATTATACTGAAGGCTGTGCGGTATTTAAGTCCTAGGTCTTTCGGTCACTCACATACTGGCTTGAATAAACCCATGGAACTCATAGCTCTCTTCTCTCTTGTTATAAGATCTGCTCCCAATAGCTAATTCCCGATATCGAGGCCTGGCAGTAATTTGATCACTGCACCAAAGCTGTCTTAATAAATTCATATATAAAAGAAGTGCTCGGCTATTTAGCTCTAAACCTGTTTTAATTAAAAATATGATTACTTGGATCCGAAAGGAACAATGGTCTGGCATGTTTTAACACGTTGTGAACTATAACACAAGATATGGGCGATGATTGTACCACATTCCACATGTCCAAAATCTAAGTATATTTCGAACGAAAAGTGTGGAGTACAGTGAAGAATGGCTTCTCTAGGTTACCCCTGAATATGAAATATTGTATCGTTTTGTTTTTGTTTTTGTTTTCATAAATACAGCGGCAGTCATGGAATGTAGCGACGTTGTATGTATTTGAACTATCATGACTAATCTTGTTTTGATGTTGTCCTATTGCAGTGAGTGAGTGAGTGTGTGTGTCCATGTAGTCTGGACCCCCCCCCCCCCCCCCCCCCCCCCCCCAATTTTACGAAAAACAAATGTAGTTTGTTGTAGTCAGTGTATTTTGATATGTCGGACCCTTGTTTAAAAATGCTGGGTCCACCCTTTATTCCAGTACCTTGAAGATCCGGGGTAGAATAGGTCTTCAGCAACCCATGCTTGCCGTAAAAGGCGACTTGGCTTGTCGTAGGAGGCGACTAACGTGATCGGGTGGTCAGGCTCACTGACTTGCTTGATGCATGACATCGATCCCAAATGCGTGGATCGATGCTCATTATGTCAGTCACTGGATTGTCTGGTCCAGACTCGATTATTTACAGACCGCCGTCATAAAGCTGGAATATTGCCGACAAACAAACAAACAACTCCAGTACCTTCTTTCAAATCACAGCATTGAGGCGACCTAACTCGCCTACCGTCAGAACACACTAAATACGTGACGTCCAAGTCATTAGGCATCTGTTCCATGAGAGCGAATTTAATCAGAATAATTTCCACAAATATTTACAGAACGTGTACAGCCCACTGGATATGGAAGGAAATCGATTTTTTGTCCCGCGTTTACCCATTGAACAGTAGAAATCTGACATCCAACTACTTGACTGATTTATTCAAATAAGTGTGTATAAATAGAGGTTATCACGCGTGTGTGTTTTGGGATGGCAAATATCCAGTATTAGGAATAAACGTTGTATTTAGTGAGCCTTGGAGACTAACAGAGTCGGGTGTACACACAGCGACAAATGAAACAATAGAACGCATTTCGGCCTGATCTGACTGTTTTAAGGGCCTCAAGCCGCAGAGGCCTACAAGCACAGATATGGAAAGAGATACAAAGGCTGAATCGTCGTCAAATTGTTTCGCAATTTATATCTCCAACGTTGCCCAAACTTGTGAAATGCCTCAGGTACGTCCCAGTTAGACACGGATTTTCAGTATCTTTTGTTTTAAACTACGGTTATAACGAACACTCTTATAACGAACTGACCGATATGACGAACTTATTTTTTAGTCCCGGCCTTTTGTTGCATATATGCTATATATCTGCTTATAACAAACTACGGTTATAACGAACTAAAATTAGTGGTCCCTTTGAGTTCGTTATAACCGTAGTTTACTGTAAATTAATGATAACCATTATCCTAGTAGTTTCTCCAGATTCCCGATGGTTTATACTGACTGAAGGGCGACGCCATGTTGGTTTCTAAACACTGAAAGTAGTACCTACCTGACCTTTAATATTTGCATCTTTATCCGTATATGACCCCGACGGATACCGTGTTTATCCGTTGGCTTTATCCTGCCGAGAATCCTACCCATTGTATGATAAATCAATATATGCTCACGTGACTGATGGTGCTGAAGTCGTGATATCGGATCATATTGTAGTTATTAGTCAGTTCTAAATCGCACCGGAGTGATTTCAACATGCATACCTGCAATAATGAAAACTTTACGTGTCATACGAAAGTGAGTGAGTGAGTGAGTTGGGTTTAACGTCGCTTTTAACAGTATTCCAGTTATATCACGGCGTGTCAGCTTAATGTGGGAGGAAAGCCCGAAGTGATGCAGGTCTAAGACGTGAAACACACGAGCACATGTATGGTGCAGACAAACCTAGAAACATAATCGGGGCGAACCGGGATTCAAACCAACAATCATAGGTTTCTGGCGTATCCAAGGGACGCAACGCTGCACAGCGAATCGCGGCGCGTCAGACGAGTGGGCCACCCGTGTCAAGCGACTCAAGAGTGAATTAAATGGCAAGAGTGAAGTGAACGCCGCTTTAACAGTATTTCAGTAATCTTTATACCAGCCAGGTAGGACGATGAAGTAGCCTAATTCAAGCCTTCGCTCGTCACGAGAAGACCCGGGTTCGATTCCCCACATGGCTACAATGTCTGAAGTCCATTTCCGGTGCCCCCCGCCGTGATATTGCTGGAATATTGCTAAAAAGAGCGCAAAACCATACTCACTCACTCAGAAAATCAGAAAATCAGAAAATAACCACTAAAGAATTTCCCAGTTCCTTTATTATGACGAGTCAACAACAGGGCGATAATGACATAATTCTAGAAACAACTACTCCCGGAGACAAGTCAATCCGTTACAGATATATCTGTATACTGATTGGTCAAGTGACCCATACCTGGCCATTGTGTTGGACACACGGGGGAAGACTTCCCATCTGAGGAATCAAGGGTACTAATTTTTATAGTCCAGCGAAACGTGCCCACAGAAATCAATTTCTTCTGGGAGAACGGTTGTCACAATCGTCTAAGGCACCGCAATTCCCTGTGCAGAGTTGCGCCCCTTGGACAAGACAGAAACCTATGATTGTGGGTTCGAATCCCTGTTCGCCTTGATTCTGTTTCTTGGTTTGTAATCCGTGCTCATGGGTTTCACCAAAGTGGTAAACACCTGAGACCTGCATCACTTCGAGCTTTCCGCACGTATTTAGCTGACAGGGGTGATATAACTGGAATACTGTTCAAAGCGGCGTCCAACCTAGCTCACTCACTCACTCACAGTGTCTCCAACATGACGGCATTGTGGCGATATAGTCTGTGGCGGGTTATGAACCCCGATTTCCTCAGTTTTGATCAATGATCACACATCCCCGAAGACCACTATCCAGCGTAGCAGAGTTACCTAAAGATAACACGTCAAAACTATTTCGTCGTAACGCTCTGTGTCGCAACCTTTTTCAAACTGACGTTCGACGTCATGGACTCGTTAAACGTGACGTTCGTTGTCAAGACCTCTATATACATTATGTTCGCCATCAAGACATTTTTTCAAGCGTCGCCAAGACCATTTCCAACAAGATGTTTGCAGTCATGACTTTTATTTCCGAAACGTTCGCCGCTAAGCGCCCTTTTAATATGACATTATCTGTCACGACGTCTTGCACGGCGTCACAAACAGACGTCTATTGTTACGTAAGAGGCGCTGACGTCCTAGCGCTTTACGAAGTTCCATAAGGGACGTGGCATTTCAGGGTGTCCCATGTCAGATGTGTTTGCGAAAAGATAAACCATGACAAAACGTGCTGACTCTCGTGTCACATTACATGCTGCCAGCCTGACTTAGTTGACATACAATCAATGCACGATACCATCTGAATTACACTTTGAATTACGAGAAGACTTTGCCGATGAATCAAATGATTTTTGCAGGTCTTAAGTGGCCTGAAAATTGATTAAAGATCACACAGTTTGTTTTAGCACGATATATCAGAACTCGGAGTCAATCTGTTGCGGATTTGATATATTTGGGCGTTTCCACGATATGATAAGCAAAGTCAAAATAGTGTAGGCGAAATTCGCAGAATATCAAGCAAGTGACCTAACCAAAAACTTTGTCACAATTACCGATGCGACCCCCAACAATTCCTTGATTTCCTTATTATTTCCAAGACAAAACTCTCAAAGAAACGATATGCCCTTAAACTATCAATAATAGTGACAAATGTGTTTACGGGTGGCGCAGCATAGGCCTTCGATAAATAACAAAGGCAACATCCCGTCCGGAAAATTGTCAGTGATGAGAGCCTGTGTAAAGGTCAAGTTCCGCTACCTGGCCATTGTTTCACACAAAGGGGAGATAACTCATCTGTTCAATTTCCCCGTTATATTTAGCATTTCTTAACATGCTCTCTCTATTCACCCATCTGGACCCCGTTCCACAAAGCGATCTTAGTACTAAGTTGGTCGTAACTCACATACTTTATCAAAGGCTTACGATCAACGTAGCACTAAGATCGCTTTGTGGAACAGGATCCCGGTATATTCCGGTAAAGATGTATAACTCCGCAATAAACGCGGTGGAATATCAACACACTTTCTTTTTCACATTTCTTCAATCCTCAGCACAGTCTTCCTCCGCGGTCTGTGATAGTTCCACGTCCACTGCTGGGACTTCTTTCCGGAGCATTCCTCCATCACGACATGCCGCGTCGCGTTCACAGTCAAACAATTATTGTGTCGCCGTATTAACTTGTCCTGGAACACAGAAACAAATACGAAACATTTTTTGTGTCACCTTATTAACTTACACAGACGGAACAGGATATTGTTTAAGTTGTTGACATCCTGTTTGTTATAATATGAACATATACCACACTACCTTATATTGACGGGTTGTTATAAATCAGCATATACCACACTACCTGGTACTGACCGGTTGTTATATATGATCATATAGTACTCTACCTTGTATTGCCGGGTTGTCATTTATGATCATATAGTACTCTACCTTGTATTGACCGGTTGTTACATATGATCATATAGTACTCTACCTTGTATTGACCAGTTGTCATATATAATTATATAGTACTCTACCTTGTATTGCCGGGTTGTCATATATGATTATATAGTACTCTACCATGTATTGACCGGTTGTTACATATGATCATATAGTACTCTACCTTGTATTGCCCGGTTGTCATATATGATGATATAATACTCTACCTTGTATTGACCGGTTGTCATATATGATAATATAGTACTCTACCTTGTATTTCCCGGTTGTTACATATGATCATATAGTACTCTACCTTGTATTGACCGGTTGTCATACATGATGATAACAGTACTCTACCTTGTATTGACCGGTTGTTATATATGATCATATAGTACTCTACCTTGTATTCCCATATATGTTCCTTGCTCGACCAGTTGCATTTATTGATATACACCCCGCCACGCGCATGGGTTAAACATCGATTACTAGCCACTATTTCTCCAAGATCTGTCATGTCGAACAACTGAAATACAACAAAATTAATATCATAAACAAAGTCACAGGCGTCTGTTGTATCTTACAAATAGTTATTGGCCATAACACGTCTGAACAACAGTTATGCCATAACTCAAAGTGAGCTGGGAGCACGGATGGCCCAGTCGTTCAAGGCGACACAATACTCTGTGCAGAGTTGCATCCCTTAGGCTTGCCAGAAACCTATGATCGTGGGTTCGATTCCCGGTTCTCTCCGAATATGTTTCTAGGTTTGTCAGCACCATACCCGTGATCATGGGTTTCACCAAAGTGGTAAACGTCTGAGACCTGCATCACTTCGGGCTTTCCTCCCACATAAGCTGACACCCTGTGATATAACTTGAATACTGTTCAAAGGGGCATCAAACCCAAATCTCACTCACTCCAGGTGGGCTACAGTGTAATGTATGATAGTGATATGATATCTTAACACATATATGTGTTTCACTATTCTATCAAGGAAATGAGGAATATACTCCATAAAATTGCTCACCAGTTGTGGTCGAAGAAGAGAGACTGGTAATAGCTCACCTGGCAATCCTACATAGCTCACCTGGGCGTTCCCCTGTCCATGACATCCGTACATGCTTGGTTGTCCCCACTCTTTATATGTCATCATGTCAAGACACATCTTGGGGACGGCCTCGTTACGTAACTGCGAAATGAACGATAATAGTGGTTTCTTGCGTTATATTTTCCTGTTTGGTTTCAACTGGGAAAAACAATTTTGTCAGACCATTTGTATTCCTTTCCTTGAGCTTATTTTGCAAAAGTAGAAGAAATGTAATAAAAATGTTTGTTTGTCATTTTTAAGCATCTTTGTGTTTTTTCTGGATCTTCTCTTGAGGAAATTAATATGAAACTAAATGTGGCAGCAATTGCGTTTGTATGTCAAGTGAACTCCCTCGTTGGTAAATAGACCCACCCAATGTCATCAGTTAAACGCACACACACGTTTATTATTCTGGAAAACAATGGAGGGCTTTTGGTGATTTTCAATAAATCTCTTTTTATCTTTAGAAATGATAAGGTTTTACGAAATCAATATCGCGATATTTTGGCATTACAGAAAACGTAAGAATCTGGTTTGTGGTCTACTTTAATTTGAAACAGAGTACTGGTGTCATGTGAGTACTCCCGCCTTAATCCAGCAGGACATCGGCCAGCAGAACCAAGATTCAATACAGTGGCAGCTATTATATAACTGTTCAAGTTGCTTCTCTTAGCTTTCGTCTCCAGATCAACGTGTATTCAATTTGTGGCAACTGCACAATAACCTGTATTCAATGACAGCCGTCATGTTATATATAACTATATACGGTCTACACTGGCGTTACGCGGCAGGCTGAATCCATGCAATATCACAACTCCTTTGATGTCCGAGCTATGACGCAGAAACGGGGCGATTGAGGTTGAGACTTACCTCCCCTGAGTAAAGGCCGTCCCCGGGAAGGGCTACTTCCGGCATAACGTTTTCAATGTACCAGGAGAAGGGCTCACATTTGAGTCTTTCTCTCAACTTGCGGCGTTCATAGACATCCCCTGGTTTCTGTAAAGAAACCCATCTAATGATGAACAAGTCTCGGGTCTACGGTGGCCCATAAGGGACATGAAGTAGGTTTTTCAATATTTTGATGTTTCACTTACTTTTATCGTAACCTTTAGCAAATTAACTTAATTTTCCATACAAATATGTTATAAATCATGTATAAAAACAACCGAAACATGAAAAATGTAGTTTCAAGTCGCTATTGAGTCGCTGAAATGTGAAGCGAAAATGTCAAAAACTAAAATGAAAATGTCAAAAACAAAAACGACAATGTCAAAAACAAAAGCGAAAATGTCAAAAACTAAAATGAAACCACAGAAAACTATTTCCAACGCGATGTAAATATTATCACCGCGGCGGAAATATTATCACCGCGGTGGAAATAGTTTTCTGTATTTTCATTTTAGTTTTTAACATTTTCATTTTATTTTTTGACATTTTCGTTTTTGTTTTTGACATTTTCATTTTAGTTTTTGACATTTTCGTTTCACTTTTCAGCGATTCAATATCTTCTTGACACATGATTTATCACATATTTGTAAGACAAATCGTGTTAATTTGCAAAAGGTTACGATAAAAGTAAGTGAAATATCAAAACATGGAAAAACAGGCTCCATGTCCCTTATGGGCCATCGTACGGGTCAATTGACAGGTCATCCAAACAAATGGATTGCTCACTCTCTATCGGTCGAGCGTGTGAGGATTGGAGTTAACGCCGCTTTAAACGGTATTTCAGTTATATCATGGCGTGTCAGCTTAATGTAGGAGGAAAGCCCCAAGTAATGCAAGTCTTAGACGTTTACCACTTTGGTGAGACCCACGGGCATAGTGTGGTGCTGGCAAACCTATACACACAATCAAGGCGGACTGGGATTCAAACCCTCGATGATAAGTTCCTGGCACGCCAAAGGGACACAATTCTGCACAGCGAATTGTGGCGCCTATGACGACTGGGCCAATACTGTACATCAAAAACATAGTGCTTCACATTTCATGTACGTGTATGTTCTTAACATATCGTGCTTCACATATTGTGCTTCACATATTGTGCTTCACAAAAATCGTGCTTCACATATTGTACTTCACATATCGTGCATCACATATTGTGCTTCACATATTGTGCTTCACATAAAACGTGCTTCACATATTGTACTTCACATATCGTGCATCACATATCGTGCTTCACATATCGTGCTTCACATATTGTGCTTCACATATTGTACTTCACATATCGTGCATCACATATTGTGCTTCACATATTGTGTTTCACATATATCGTGCTTCACATATTGTACTTCCCATACTGTACAATATATATTGAGGTATCCTACTTAATACAGTTTGCTTCAGATACTGAGTTCAAACCTTGGATTGAAACTGGAATGGTAACCCCACAGTATCCATATGCAATTTCAGCCACTACTGTTTCTACCATGGCATCATACGTACGTAGTATTGGCTGTTCCTCCCGCCTCCATAGCCCTGGTAGTACTTCTTGTAGTCGTCCATCCACACCTCCGCCAGGCGTGCGTTGTTGGCGGCACCGGCGGCGTACGTCCCAGGGCGGATTTGCATGTAACTGTAGTGACTGTGAAACACGTGACCGACACGTGAACAGATGGGCGTCTCAATCCGCCCGCCGCACATCCAGATCTGATGAAGTATTCATGGTAGTTTCTTTATTTTGTTTGTTTGTGTGTTATTTAACGCCGCTATCAGCAATATTCCAGCTATATGATGGCGGTCTGTAAATAATCGAGTCTGGACCAGACAATCCAGTGATTGACATCATTAGCATCATTTACGCGATTGGGAAACGATGACATGTCAGTGAGCCTGACCACACGATCCCGTTAGTCGCCTTAAACCACAAGCATAGTCGCGTCTTACGGCAAGCATGGGTTGCTGAAGGCCTATTCTCTACTCGGATCTTCACCGGTCAATTAATAGTAGTGTCATTATGGTCAACCAAGACAGGGGAGATAATTATGGCGTTATTAGAACATTTACTACGTAAAGTGATTGAATCAGGATGAGTGAGTATTGTTGTACACCGCAATATATTGGCAAGGGACACCAGACATGACCCCCCACCCAACAGACAATGAACTCACCTTAAACGACATCTCGATATTCTCCCCACCCCAGATCTTCATCCCAGGGTCAAATCCTCCCAGGAAATCGAAGTACTCCCGGGTGATGGAGAAGAGGCCTCCCGCCATTGTTGGGGATCTGCAAGAAATGAGTAGGCGCCTTAGAAGCCTTGGCCAACCGTTTCTGAGGAGGTGAGGTGAAATTGGGATTATGTAGCAACGTGTGTGTGTGTGTGTGTGTGTGTGTGTGTGTGTGTGTGTGTGTGTGTGACTGCTTGTACTAGTCCGGACTGAGATACCATACCACAGTTTAACATGAATATCCCAATCAGACACAGTATACTGACACCGAGCAACGATATACAACGATACTTAATGAGTGTTGATTATGTAAATAAATGAGACAAAGCCGGCTTTCCCTAATCACAAGGCATCTCTCTATTGTACGATGCCGATGTCATAACCATCTGTTAATGAATCAATATGAAATAGTCATGATACCTGGTTCCGCTGAAAGGTCAGCCTATCCTGACCCACCTACCCTAACTGTCATAAACACATGAAAAGGCAAGTCAAGTGTAAGACTCATTTGCCTCACCTGACGTGCTCCAGGTTACTTTTCCTCCGTTTCTTCTCCCTGGGCGGCTGTGAACGCCAACCGAACTGCAGCGTCGGGAATTCCACCACCCCGACCATCACCTCTGGACCAACCGAGATGCTATAGTCGTTCTTGTCGATGACGTCAATACAGGGCGTGGTCACCACCTTGGGGTCCGTGGCTAGAGGGGTAAGAAGGGGCTCCAGCCACCCTAAAGTAACAATCCGGTGCTTGTAAAACTCCCATTATATGGAATAGGTCTGAGAGCTGTAGTGTCGATGGTGTGTGCCAATGTGAACTCTATAATTGTGCTAACTGGCATATTCCTACAATACACCAATGTGAACAGGCATACAGTGTTGTTAGCTGTCATACAGTGTTGTTAACTGTCATTCATTGTTGTTAACTGTCATACAGTGTTGATGACTGGCAAAATGATTGAAGTATATTACCATTAACATCCACGAATGTGAACTGGCATAGTGAGTGAGTGAGTTGGGTTTAACGCCGCTTTTAACAATATTCCAGTTATATCGCGGCGTGTGGCATAGTGATGTGAACTGGAGTATATTACTGTTAACATCCATCGATGTGAACTCGCATAGTGATGTAAAATGGTATATCTTATTGTTAACATCCAGCAATGTCAACTGGCATACAGTGTTGTTAACTTGTATATTACTGTTAACATCCAACAATATAAACTGACATACAGTGTTGTTTACTGGTATATATTACTGTTAACATCCAACAATATAAACTGACATACAGTGTTGTTAACTGGTATATATTACTGTTAACATCCAGCAAAGTGAACTGACATACAGTGTTGTTAACTTGTATATAACTGTTAACATCCAGCAATATAAACTGATATACAGTGTTATTAACTGGTATATATTACTGTTAAAATCTAGCAAATTGAACTGGCATAATGGTGTAAACTGTTATATATTACTGTTAACATCCAGTAATATAAACTGACATACAGTGTTGTTAACTGGTATATATTACTGTTAAAATCAAGCAAACTGAACTGGCATAATGGTGTGAACTGTTATATATTACTGCTAACATCCAGCAAAGTGAACTGACATACAGTGTTGTTAACTTGTATATTACTGCTAACATCCAGCAATATAAACCGACATACAGTGTTGTTAACTGCTACATATAACTGTTAAAATCCAGCAAATTGAACTGGCATAATCGTGTGAACTGTTATATATTACTGCTAACATCCAGCAAATTGAACTGACATACAGTGTTGTTAACTGTTATATATTACTGTTAACATCCAGCAAATTGAACTGACATACAGTGTTGTTAACTGTTATATATTACTGTTAACATCCAGCAATATAAACTGACATACAGTGTTGTTAACTGGTATATATTACTGTTAACATCCAACAATATAAACTGACATACAGTGTTGTTAACTGTTATATATTACTGTTAACATCCAGCAAAGTGAACTGACATACAGTGTTGTTAACTTGTATATAACTGTTAACATCCAGCAATATAAACTGATATACAGTGTTGTTAACTGGTATATATTACTGTTAAAATCTAGCAAATTGAACTGGCATAATGGTGTGAACTGTTATATATTACTGCTAACATCCAGTAATATAAACCGACATACAGTGTTGTTAACTGGTATATATTACTGTTAAAATCAAGCAAACTGAACTGGCATAATGGTTTGAACTGTTATATATTACTGCTAACATCCAGCAAAGTGAACTGACATACAGTGTTGTTAACTTGTATATAACTGTTAACATCCAGCAATATAAACCGACATACAGTGTTGTTAACTTGTATATTACTGCTAACATCCAGTAATATAAACTGACATACAGTGTTGTTAGCTGGTATATATTACTGTTAAAATCAAGCAAACTGAACTGGCATAATGGTGTGAACTGTTATATATTACTGTTAACATCCAGCAAAGTGAACTGACATACAGTGTTGTTAACTGGTATATATTACTGTTAACATCCAGCAAATTGAACTGACATACAGTGTTGTTAACTGGTATATATTACTGTTAACATACAGCAATATAAACTGAGATACAGTGTTGTCAACTGGTATATATTACTGTTAACATCCAGCAAATTGAACTGACATACAGTGTTGTTAACTGGTATATATTACTGTTAACATCCAGCAATATAAACTGACATACAGTGTTGTTAACTGTTATATATTACTGTTAACATCCAGCAAAGTGAACTGACATACAGTGTTGTTAACTTGTATATAACTGTTAACATCCAGCAATATAAACTGATATACAGTGTTGTTAACTGGTATATATTACTGTTAAAATCTAGCAAATTGAACTGGCATAATGGTGTGAACTGTTATATATTACTGCTAACATCCAGTAATATAAACCGACATACAGTGTTGTTAACTGGTATATATTACTGTTAAAATCAAGCAAACTGAACTGGCATAATGGTGTGAACTGTTATATATTACTGCTAACATCCAGCAAAGTGAACTGACATACAGTGTAGTTAACTTGTATATTACTGCTAACATCCAGTAATATAAACTGACATACAGTGTTGTTAGCTGGTATATATTACTGTTAAAATCAAGCAAACTGAACTGGCATAATGGTGTGAACTGTTATATATTACTGTTAACATCCAGCAAAGTGAACTGACATACAGTGTTGTTAACTGGTATATATTACTGTTAACATCCAGCAAATTGAACTGACATACAGTGTTGTTAACTGGTATATATTACTGTTAACATACAGCAATATAAACTGAGATACAGTGTTGTTGACTGGTATATATTACTGTTAACATCCAGCAAATTGAACTGACATACAGTGTTGTTAACTGGTATATATTACTGTTAACATCCAGCAATATAAACTGACATACAGTGTTGTTAACTGGTATATATTACTGTTAACATACAGCAATATAAACTGAGATACAGTGTTGTTGACTGGTATATATTACTGTTAACATCCAGCAATGTAAACTGACATACAGTGTTGTCAACTGGTATATATTACTGTTAACATCCAGCAATATAAACTGACATACAATGTTGTCAACTGGTATATATTACTGTTAACATCCAGCAATGTAAACTGGCATACAGTGTTGTCAACTGGTATATAATACTGTTAACATCCAGCATCATAAACTGACATACGTTACTACTGGGATGCATTAGTTCTAACAGGAATGTATTGTATGTCACCGGCATGTCATGTGTATGCCCTTCTGGGGGTCACCAGTCCATCCAGATTACCTGGGAAACATTCACAGTGTGAGTCCAGGAATGTGATGACGGGCGCCGTGGTGTAGTTGTAGCCCAGCGTCCTCGCCACCATCAGCCCCAGCCCCTTTGTGGCTCGGACTATCTGCACCTTGGGGAACCGAGCCATGTACACGTCCAGCGGCCTGCCCAGAAAATCTGGAAATGGAGAATCCGTATACGTACTCGATTCTTATTGGTTAATCAGAGGTTTCAAACCGCAGTCACAACCCCTAATTGAAACAGCCATATGTATGTACACACCAAGCAGCTGGAAATATAGAATCCCTGCAGACATACTTGTTCTACCCGGGTAATTTAGGGAAATGAACGGGGTTGGTATTTACGGTGTGGAGTTGACAGACCTTAGGGAATTCCTTCGCCTTACAACTTGGCCGCACATGCCCGTCAAAATATTCAAATTTCGTCATTATCACAATTTTCTAATCAAATGACTAGTTGAGTTCAGTAAGTGAGCTCAAGAAGTTATATTTTGATGTACCGCGGTAAATAGGACCTGTATTTATTCAAGGACCCGTAAAGATTCAGGTTAGAAAATATCATCAGCAACCCATGCTTGACGCGAAAGGCGACTGTGCTTGTCGTAATTGGCGACTAACGGGATCAGGTGGTCAGGCTCGCTGACTTGGTTGAACCATGTCATCGTATCCCAATTGTGTGGATCGATACTCATGAGGTCAATCACTAGATTATCTGGTCCAGACTCGATTATGTACAGGCCGCTGTCCTGTGGCTGGAATATTGCTGAGTGCGGCGTTAAACAACATACAAACAAATTTTTTAAAGCTTTCGATACAATAAAATTCACAGGTTTCAAATCTACGTTTGAAACCTCAAAAAAGAAAACAAGTTAGGTTTATCTACCATAACCATCATTGTCTACCTCAAACAGCGCACCTACCCCATGACGAGCCATCGTCGACGAGGATCACCTCCTTCACCAGGTGCGGCGGGGTGTTGTCATGGATACTGTGAACAAGCCTTAGCAACGTTGACCACGCCTCGTTGACGAAACAGATGATGATGCTGGTCTGGGGGAGACGGGCGGAGGAGTAACGCTCGGCACAGCTGTGGAGAAAACACAAGGTTAGAACCAGCTTGCAGCAGTTGTATCATTGTATCCCAACACAACTGTACATGGGAAGATGCTGGGGTCGTTTTCGAAACATGTCTCATTTGGAGACTTAACTCACTCCCGTGGACATTATACGTATATATTACCTTTCTAGTCGGTTGGAATTTTATTGGTGAAACTATACCATCTTTCGGATGAGGAACAGATTTCTAAATGATGTATCATGCCTTGAAGGGTGTGCGACAAAGTGGGTGGACAAAAATTATTTTTTTTAAAGAGTACAGCAAAAGGAAAATAGTATCAAACACAAAATCAAAAAACATAATCGCTGAAATGTCATGATATGAACATGTGTCATGAGAGAATCTTCCAAAATAATTCATGCTGCCATTTAAGAGTGAAAGTGTGAGTGAGTTTGGTTTTACGCCGCTTTTAACAGTATTCCAGTTATATCACGGCGTGTCAGCTTAATGTGGGTGGAAAGCCCGAAGTGATGCAGGTCTCAGACGTTTTCCACTTTGGTGAAACCCTTGAGCACGGGTATGATGCTGACAAACCTAGAAACATAATTGGGGCGAACCGGGATTCGAACCCACAATCATAGGTTTCTGGCGTGCCAAACGGACGCAGCTCTGCGCAGCGAATCGCGGCGCCTTAGACGACTGGGCCACCCGTGCCCCCGCCAACTAAGAGAACAGAACAAAAGCTTTCGCTGTCTGGTGAGAAACATGCGCTATGTGAGTCGAGCGCTCATTGATCTGCTGCCCATGCTCTGAAATCGGGGCTTATTTGATTCGTCTATTAAAAATAGTGAGTTCACCGTAAGGCGGTCGTGTGTATTCACAGATATTGTGCACAAACCCGTGAAGTACTGACTGGGTCCAGAACCATCATTACCTATACTACTTCCTCACACAGTTAAAGTATTTAGGTTGTATTACCGCAAGTCAGCTTTAGGCACACGTAGATCGAAAACATTTACCGCTGTGGTACAACCAGCGAGCATGGAAATTGCCTCTGTTTATTTGTCGATAACTCACCCCTCCAGCCTTGGATCTCTCAGTTTCCGTCTCACGCCGATGATGTTGCTGACGTATTCGTTCATGGAGTTCTTCCGGTAGGCGTTCTGTAATTTCTTGAGCTCCTCAGGGGGCAATTTGTTTTTGTCTAAGCTGAACCCTTTGCCTCCAGCCCCTAGAAAATAACTTTTTAAATTGGAGGCACAAAAGGAAATTGAACCGTGTCGGCCATTTTGACAAAATGTCGGCCATCTTGGATGTTTGGTCGGTATCTTTCTTAGTTACCCCAAAGCTTGGCTTGTATAATTATTTGAACAATTATTTCTGTTATTTTCTCTCACTACAACGTTGAGTATTCATTTATATCATATAGATACCATTAGGAATCTGTAACTTTAAGCGTATATAAGGTTATTTGATCAGTAGTTAAATGAACCATCACAAAGCGATCTTTGCGTTAAAGCATTACTTTAACGCAATCGCTATCTTGGACAAAAGATACACGAGGCCAGGATCGGAACTAAAGCCTAGTGGTTAAAGCCTTCGCTCGTCCTAGATGGGTACAATGTGTGAAGCCCATTTCTGGTTTCCCCGACGTGACATTGGCTGGAGTATTACTAAACGTGGCTGAAAACTATACTCACTCACCATCACATAAGGTGTTATTGTAGGGAGTCTAACGGGGATCATCTTAAAGAGGTGCTTTAATCTTTGGACTGTGTAGACGTTATACGTAGTGTGAAAGTGAGATGTGGTCTTTGCAGACCAAGCAGACCTTGTTTGAATGATCTGAGTCTGACCAGTTGGACTGGCACATACACCGAGGCCAGCGTCCTCGTAAGACCCGTATTCAATTTACAGCGTTTTAACGTTCCGATTTGTTGTTTGTTTGCTGTTTAACGTGGCACTCTGTGATATTTCAGCGACCAAACATTGGTAACCAAACAACGGTTTATTTCTTGTCCCGTTTCGAAGAAAACTGCAAAACTATATACTGCAACTGTGATACAAAATGAGATACATACCCGCATTTGTTATGTTAAAAAAACGTCGCACAACGTCAAAGTCGGGTTCAAAAGGAAGCGGATCAGGTGGCCAATCACCTCTTAACACAATAGTGGCGTTGTGAACGTCCTCTTTGACTTTCTTCTCATAAACAGCTTTTTTATTTATATTCATCTTATGAGTTATCACGGCTCCTGGGAGACGCCTCGTTTTCACCTCGTTCCCATGATGCTTTGCGTCGTCCTCCCTTCCTTTCACGACCCTATATTCCTCATTCAGCACATAGTCCGCCACGTGACGCCTCCGCATCCTCGGCAAGGATCCTCGCCCGCCGCTGTGGGTCCAGCTGAGGAGCAGCCACGCCATCATTCCCCAGAGAATCACAGCCAGCAATAACCACAAGTCAACGTTACGTCTACGTTTCACCATGGTGGAGGATGAACAGGATTACCCGGACGACGTCATAGGATTATCTAAATGCGAAACAATTAAACACATTTATAATGAATATGGGGTCGGTCGGGTAGCCTAGTGGTTAAAACGTTAGCTCGTCACGCCGAAGACCCGGGTTCGATTCCCGACATGGGGACATTGTGTGCAGCCCATTTCTGGTGTCCCCCGCCGTGATATTTCTGGAATATTGCTAAAAGCGGCATAAAACCATACGCACTCACTCACTATAATGAATATGATAATACAGTTAAAGTAATCATGATTTTATCGTAATTATTGATATTTTATTAAATCACAAAACATTGCAAGTAAACTTAATTATTACACAAGGTTAAACTGATGAAAAGTGAGACTTACATAACTTAAAATATAGAAAATTGTTATAATAATGGAGTTTAAATCTAATCTCGACAGTATGTTTTCCATTTCAAGGCTATATTTCGGCATTGTTATTAGTACCCGTGATCATGCGGTGTAGAATAGGTCTTCAGCAACTCATGCTTGCTGTAAAAGACGACAATGCCTATCGTAGGAGGCGACTAGCAGGATCGGGTAGTCAGGCTCGCTGTCTCGGCTGATGCATGTCATCGTATCCCAGTTTCGTAGATCAATGCTCATGATGCCAAACACAGGATTGTCTGGTCCAGATTCGATTATTTACAGACCGCCGTCATAAAGCTTGGATAAAACAAGGACTGGTCGTCTCGGAGTCAGTATATTGTGTATGAGTGGGGTATTCATGTGAAACAGTGGCATAGTGGGCTCAGCACTATACAACCCGCATTAGTCCGGACTAGTACAAGTAGAGAGAGAGAGACACACACACACACACACACACGCACAAGCACACTTGAAAGCACTCACACACACAGGCGCGCACGCGCACGCACGCACGCACACACACGTGCATATACGTCGCTATGTAAGAGTAATAATCTTGAACACGACGTTAAACCCCATTGATGGATGGATGACTAAATGGATGGATTGGTTGGTTGATTGAGGCGTCATATTTCGATATGCCAATTATTTAATGACCGACGTAACTGCACGCTCACGTCCGCTCCTGGTCGTTAGGGGATATTTTACGGGCGCTTTAAACATAACTCTGTGAACGCTAAAACCTTATTCGTCATGGGTTACCTATGGAATCTTGTAAGGGACATTTTCGCGATCTCGCATTCTCGACTTATTGAAACAAGCCCAAAACACGTCAATGCTTATAATTAAATTCGACAACGTAAAACATGTTTTATCTACAGTAGTTAAACCAAAAACAGTTATACATCAAAACAGACAAAAATGACGAGATTGATAAACACTCCAGGTGTAGGAATACATATTGTGTTGTGACATGAGGTGATCGTTTAATTTATGCACATAACTTGACACGCATACACACTCAGTAGCCAATAAACGGAGAGTGGGATCAAAATAATGTTCATTGGACCTGTCAATTACGACAGGAGGCGAAAAGAACTGCAACAGTCAGACTGTAACGAACCGGAAGAAATATGTCCGGGAGAAGGCGGCTGTTTCAAATAACATGGCCAGTTACCGCCAAATTCAAACATTACTTCCCCGATTACCGTAAAACACAGTTGGAAAAATGCTAGTTAGAAATGAAACCCGAAGACATGAAAGTTGAACCGAGGCGTGCGGGAAAAAAACAGGCGAGCGAGCCTGCACGTTTGCTGTTTCATTCATTCTCGGCCTTCGGTTTCAAAGGGTAGTTTGGACAATGACTATGAAAGTCGCCAAATGTCCTGTGCATGACGATACACGTGAGCAGAAAGGGAATTCCCTCGACTGTAATATTGGGATTCCCCGACATTCCGGAGTGAAGTAGTGCGCCTCGGTGGGCATGGCTCAATTTTTTACATTCATTGGGAAATGAATGCAATAACACGTGACCAATTCAGCTAATCAGAATGCAGGAATTTCAATGAACACAACGAAAATTTAATTATATTGTATTAAACACAAAGTGGCATATTCGATAACGCACCAATGCGTTAATAAATATATCGCAAGCCATTCCATTGCATTTACTATGCTAACTAAGTAATTCATTTTGCGTTAATGTTCTATAAACCTACAAAATTACTCCACACCCACCTGACAACTACAGTTTACTGACTGACTTGTGAAATATGAGTTTATGAAGATTCGGGGTGGCAGTAAGAACGCACTACTAACTTCTACCATTTGTTTGACAGTGTTGCTTTACTTGCAACGAGGTGATTATATATTGCTCTAAATCGATTTACCAAATTCGATAAGTAATAATATGCCTGATGTCCTCAATTCTTTAATTTCATATATGTACATCATATAATATTGCGCAGATCGATGCTCATGATGTCAATCAATGGATTGTCTGGTCCAGACGGGATTATTTACAGACCGCTGTCATACAGCTGGAATATTTCTGTGTGGCGTTAAATAACAAACAAACAAATCAAAGCGGCGTTAAACCCATCTCACTCACTACAATAGGACAACATCAAAACAAGATTAATCATGTAGTTCAAATACATACAGGGGCGGTCGGGTAGCCTTAGTGGTTAAAGCGTTCGAACGTCACGCCGAAGACCCGGGGTCGATTCCCGACATGGGTACAATGTGTGAAGCCCATTTCTGGTGTCCCCTGTCGTGATATTTCTGGAATATTGCTAAAAGCGGCGTAAAACCATACTCACTCACCCTAATACATACAACATCGCTACATTCCATGACTGCTGCTGTAAATATGAAAACATAACGATACAATATTTAATATTCAGGGGTAACTGAGAGAAGCCAAAAACAAAACATCATGTACACAATTCACTGAGCCAGTGATGTCAGTCGGGAGCAAATGTTTTGATAATTTTCAAAAGAAATGACGAATTATTCAGAGAGATCGTAACACCACAGAATACAAACCTGAAACACTAGATCCATCCGCTACGGCGTTATGCGAGAGGGCAGGGTCTCAACAGGTTTAAAGGCGCCATTCCGTCCACATAAGCGCATGGGCGGTGTATCCCCCCAGAACACATTCCTTTGGTTCAGAGATGTCGATACAAGTTCACTTCACATAATGGTTTATAAAGTGAAGTTTGACACATTTCGATTCCTCTCGAGAAGGCGATCTTCCTGTAGTTTACACGTGAATGTGTGACGAGGAGGTGTCCATGAAATGCATCTGCGACGGAGCGACGTAGGCACTGTACCGTAGTGTCTTCAATAAAGGTCATTGAGTATGTTCTCATGTATTAGTGCTACGATTGCCAGTGTTTTTACATGCCATCGCTTCAAGACACACGTTTGTGTCCCTGAAAGCGAAACACATTTTTAGAGTGAATGAGTGAGTGGGCTAGATTTAATGCCGCTTTTAACAGTGTTCCAGTTATATAACGGCGTGTCAGCTTAATTTGGGAGCCCGAAGCCCGAAGAGATGCAGGTTTCAGATGTTTACCACTTCTGTGAAACCCACGAGCACGGGTATGGTGCTGATAAACCTAGAAACATAATCGGGGCGAACTAGGATTCGAACCCACAATCATAGGTTTCCAAGGGACGCAACTCTGCACATGCGAATCACGGCGCCTCAGACGACTGGGCCACCCGTGTCCCAAATTAATAGTAACACAATATAAATGCAATGTTAGTGTATGGGTTTATAATTTCTACACATGCAGGAACGTATATTATTGATGTGTCACCGAGGTGACATCAGTTGCATGCATACAGTGTTGCGATGAGCGTGTAGTTTATGAACCTAACACTTCATAACGTGACTCCAGTGAAGCGACCGCCTCCGTGGTCTAATGGTAGAGCGTCCGCCCGGAGAGCGGAAGGTTCGGGGTTCGATCCCCGGCCGCGTCATACCAAAAGACGTTAAAAGATGGTACTTGTTGTTACCCTGTCTGGCGCTCGGCATTAAGGGGCTAAAACAAGGACTGGTCGGCTCGGAGTCAGTATACTGTGTCTGAGTGGGGTATTCATGTTAAACTGCGGCATGGTATCTCAGTGTGCTAGCACTATAAATCGGCATCAGTCCGGACTAGTACAAGCAGCCACACACACACACACACACACACACACACACTTACACGTGCATACACGTCGCTATTTAAGTGCAATAATCTTGGACGCGACGTTAAACCCCATTTCACCTCACCTCCAGTGAAGCACATTTGAACTCTGAAAACATCAACAATATCCAGTCTCAGTTTCGTTCAGGACAACCAGAATGCCCATCGACCATGAATATGAGACTTAAATATTCGGTCAGTTGCTAATTAAATATGCGTCACTGCTAAAAATTCTAGTAACACCACCACGCACGCACGCAAACACGCACAAAAGCACGCGCATAGACACGAAAGCACGCACGCACGCACGCACACACAACCGCACAATCACGCACACACAAACTCACACACGCACACAACATCTGGTTCATAACTTTGTCCCTGGGGCGTATAAGTGGTATTTACGGTAGCGTTCACCAGCTGCTCCGCCATAACAATATATCGCCAACGACATTGTCTCCGGAATGTGCACATATGCTGCCAGAGATCGAACATGAACTGCTGATGGTTTGAAATGAAGCCGATGTAGCGACATATCGGAAACAGCTGGCCTTTTGTAAAACATGATGGAAAATCAGTTATTTTTAAGGTATGGTGTGTAAAACATAAATTGTTGATGCATGTCATCGTATCTCAGTTGCGTGGATCGATGCTCTTGATATCAATCACTGGATTGTCTGGCCCAAACTGGATTAAAATATTACTTACTCTAATATATATAATAGGGTTACCTTAACCACTCATAGATAGTGTTAGTGGCAAGGATGTCCCTCTTGTCTAAGGCACCACAATTTGGTGTTCAGAGTTGCGTCCCTTGGGCATGCAAGAAACCTATGATCGTAGGTTCGAATCCCGGTTGGCCCCGATTATGTTTCTAGGTTTTTTCAGCACCATACCTGTGTTTGTGGGTTTCACCGAAGTGGTAAACTTCTGAGGCCTGCATCACTTTGGGCTTTCCTCCCACATTAAGCTGACACGCCGTGATATAACTGGAATAATGTTAAAAGAGAATGTCAGAGAAGAATCTACATTGTTCCATCCGTTGAAGGGGCGGTCGGGTAGCCTAGTGGTTAAAGCGTTCGCTCGTCACGCCGAAGACCCGGGTTTGATTCCCGACATGGGTACATTGTGTGAAGCCCATTTCTGGTGTCCCACGTCGTGATATTTCTGGAATATTGCTAAAAGCGGCGTAAAATCAAACTCACTCACTCACTACATCCGTTGATTCTCAACATGGAATTAATTATGTACACTCATCAATTTTTGACGACATTCTTTGGCAATGAAGGAAATAATGGAATATATATATTTTTCTAGATAGTTTCTCTGGTCGAATTAACATCAATTATGCGAAAATAAACCCTTTCAAATCCCATTGGTACACATGTAACAGCTAACACATTCATTAACCATTTGAAACACAGCGTGACACCCTTCGATGATGTCTTGTGTTGTCTTGAGGCTAAACACGTGGAGAGTCCGGGTTAGAATTGGTCCCCAGCAACCTGTGCTGGTCGTAAGAGGCGACTAAATGGACTGGGTGGTCAGGCTCGGTGACTTCGTTGATGGCGTGTCATTGTGGCCCGTCGGCGTAGGTCGTTGCCCATAATATTGTAACGGAACGGCCAAAGACTGGTCGTTAATTACTTGTGGACAAATTCCTAAAATAAATGGATGCTGCCACCAGTCACAAAATGTGACAAAATAAATACCAGAGCTTTGAGACGAGGTTTAGCGAAAATATATCACAAGGATCTACAAAGTTACGAATGTCGAAACTAGCGAAATGCAGAAGGATCACACAAGGAGTAGGTTAAGTTCAAAAACGAGTTTATTAATTATTCAATGAACTGAAAAAGCTTGTACATGGCCTCGAGATCGCGAGACGCGATACCGGCTTTGAACTGTACTGGAAACATCAGTCGCTCGGCATTGTCTGTCACATCGTGGCTCTAGAATCCGGTACTTGTCTGTATCCCTCCCACGATTAATATATGTGAACTGTTAAAACAATTAAACTGTACAATAAACTTTGAAACTTGAAAGTGTCCGAACTTGGCTGCAACCGGAACTGGATCCATGTAATGTAAACAATACATTCCGGAAGTCATGTGACCCAGAATGGATGACAATGAGGCCACACCTCCGAGAGCTGTCAAACTGCGATTTAAGTCAGCATGAAGTCATATCCTAATTAAAGCTTGGAATTAAATATATAGGATCGATTCTAGAACGATCCCTATAAACATATGTAGATAAAAACCATTGACTATGATGGCATCATCACGCGACTTGATAATGTAAACAATCCGGTCGGAATGACCTCGGACCCCCCGGATCGCGATGACAATCGACGACTGTCAAAACATCTAAATATAGGCTTTAAACTGTAATACTTTATACGGATGACAAATCACTTGCGACTTGTGATATCTGTAACTGTAACTGTAACTTGTATGCTTGAATAATTACGATCTTGGAATATTCCGTCGGAATGAATCCGGAATGGCTGTCGGAATCTCGGAACTGTCAGACGTCATCCGGACGTTAAAAAAAACGTCATCCGGATGTCCACAAAGGTAAATAATCACTAATCCACAATCAAATACTTAGAGAGCAGACCAAGTATTGATATAGCCATTTAGATTAGAAGCTATACAATAAAAATCTCTTAGAATGCGAAAGATATAATTTAGCTGTGACGTAACCGTGGAACCCTACCTTGCTTGTCAAAGTCAAAATTGCAGCCCCGAAGTTCACCTTGACAGGTCTATTTATAGGTGACGTAAGGTCACATGACACGCAAACGTGAGGTCAGAAAATCAAAGATGGCGACTGTAAACATGACTGACGTGACTCGAGTTTACTGTTATACTTGATTCTGTAACTGGGAAAAACACTGCTAAAAGGTATGTCAACCTTATAACATACAACATGATGCTGGTACCACAGTTCAAATTAGTTTGAAGGCTGGTAGTTGTTCCACTGTCATAAAGGGTTGTAATTAAGTGTGATCCTTTAAGTACGTGTTAACCTTGCTGGAACAGGAATTTTGGTTACAATATCAATCACTGGATTGTCTGGCCCAGGCTCGATTAAATACAGATCGCCGTCATATAGCTGGAACATAACAACGTCAAACAACACACACATGCAGGCACGCACGCAAGCACGCACGCACGCACGCAAGCACGCCCGCACACTCTCGTAACATGGCATGAATCATTGATCTCTTGTCACGCCCTGAAGCGTCAGACACCTCGCAAACGTCACGTTACGTCTAGCGTGAAACATGCCCTACGGCGGAACTGGCGTCCTTGACCTCATGTCAAGTGTTGAAGAGCGACACTCCTAGGCCATGTCAAGTCCAAAAATGAAGCTTACAAATGTCTTTTTACAATGAAACACTTCCGGTGACGTCATGCACGAACACTCAAATGGTTCCTCGGTGAAACACGCTGGTTCAGGTCGATCCGTTTACTGTCGATCATCTGCTATTCATGTTTAGGGTCCCCGTCAACGCAACATCGGATCGGGCAATATGGATACGATAACTTAATATATATATCAAAGGGGCACAACTCTGCTGACTTAAGTATACGCCGCCGATGAACCGACACAAGATTTTTCACATTTCTTCAATCCTTAGCACAGTCTTCCTCCGCGGTCTGTGATAGTTCCACGTCCACTGCTGGGACTTCTTTCCAGAGCATTCCCCCATCACGACATGCTGCGTCGCGTTCACAGTCAAACAATTATTGTGTCGGCGTATTAACTTGTCCTGGAACACAGAAACAAACACGATCAGTTTATCAATCACCATGTCGCCTAATAAACAAACACGCCAAGTCAAACAATTATTGTGCCGCCTTAATAACTTGTCCTGGAAAACAGAAACAAACACTGTCAGTCAAACAGTCACCACGTCCCTCTTATTAACTTGTCCTGGAAAACAGAAGAAACAAACACGCCAAGTCAAACAAGTATTGTGTCGCCCTAATTAATAAGTCCCGAAACACAGAACACAGAAACAAACGGGATGAGTGAGTGAGTGAGTGAATGAATGAGTGAGTGAGCTACCTTGTATTCCCAGATGTGGTCCCGTGACGCCCAGTTGCTCTTGTAGTTAGACACACCACCATGCACACGGGCCAGACAACGGTTCAAGGACACAATCTCGTCAAGATCTGTCATGTCGAATAACTGAAAACCAAATAAAATAATATGAAATGTGTGTGTCCAATAGTGACGCAGAAGCATGACATTATGGTGAATCTTATGTGGGATTTACGACGGGTAGCGGATCCTGACACGGTTAATGGACGTAACTCTAACACAGTCAGGATTTATTCTTCAACCAAGCACTACATGAAACCAATACTTTCCCCCCGCCCTCGAAAATTGTTGGAAAACCAGCAACAAGCGAAACGAGGCAGACAGGAAATAAAATTTTGGCTTTCACTGCAAGTACGTGAAGTTGTAAGAGAGGTTTGTTTGTTTATTTGTTTATTTGTTTGTTGTTTAACGCAGCAATATTCCGGCTATATGACGGCGGTCTGTAAATAATCGAGTCTGGATTAGACATGCCAGTGATTGACACCATGAGCATCTGTCCACACAATCGGGACATGTATCAACAAGTCAGCAAACATGACCACCCGGTCCCGTTAGTCGCCTCTTACGACAATGGGCGATCGGGTAGCCTAGTGGTTAAAGCGTTCGCTCGTCAAGCTGAAGACCCTGGTTCGATTCCCCACATGGGTACAATGTGTGAAGCCCATTTCTGGTGTCCCCCGCCGTGATATTGCTGGATTATTGCTAAAAGCGGCGTAAAACCAAACTCACTCACTCACTCTTACGACAAGCATGGGTTGCTGAAGACCTATTCTGACCCGGATCTTCTCGGGTCTGTAAGAGATGTATGTGTCAATACACTTTGATAAATCTGAGACTCTTTTTGTCTCTTTGACTCTTTGTTTCCTTAATAACTTCGGCTTCAGGGGCCTTCAGTTAGCTCACCTGGGTACCCCCCTGCCCATGACAGTCAAACATGGCGGGGTGACCCCCTTCTTTGGACGTCATCATGTCAAGGCACTTTTTCGGAAAGGCTTCGTTACGTATCTGAAAAATGGAAAATACTGATGAGGTCAAATACTGAACTTATGGATGTCAGCTTCGTTGTTATGAGGAACACATCAATGAATTCTCATTCATAAATTGGCATCAAGATATCTCCCTCTTCTGTGTAGCACTTTCAAATGCCATTCAAAGAGACAATAATCGAAAATGTGCAACCAAAGTGGCACTGTTATGCTTCCGTACATGTATAAAGGCCATATCCCACAGTAGAAACCAAAATAGAAAGATTCATGCATTGTATATTCGTATTGCAGACCAAAGATCAAAGTTCAGGGCATATCATTATTAATATGGCCCAGTTTGCATTTTATTATGTTTTCATAATCGGATGTACATTCTGTTCTGTGAATACATTCTAGACACATCACTCGCGGGTAAGCCAATCCAGCCATGCTGTCGTTTGTTTCAGCAGTTAACTGTGTCATGTTCAACGGAGAGAAAAGACAGCTTCCGGCCGCCTTTAGTCACTGACTTACCTCCCCTGAATACACGCCATCTCCAGGCAGGGCCACTTCCGGGTATACGTTTTGGATGTACCAGGAGAAAGGCTTACATCTGATTCTCTCCCTCAGCATCACGCGTTCAGAGACATCTCCTGGTTGCTGTGAAGAAGTAGTTGGAACGTGGGTGATGAAAAAGTCCAGTTGGATTCACAAATTACAGGATGTGATGAGGGTACCCATTTTGGGTATACATAAATTAAGAAATGAGCAAATGTTGAATCAATATGATAGTTATCAGATGCGTTTGTATTGATGCGTATATAAATTTGTTTATTTTCTTATTTGCATGTTTTGGACTTATAAAAAAGGTAAAAATACTAAATGTACAGTTACGCCTTAAATGTGTTAAATGTGCTGATTAAAGAGGTTTTCAGAAAGTTTATTTCTAATATTTGAATACGAGTAACTTTTGACCCTAATCATCTTGGACCCGTGAAGGTCCGGGGTAGAATAGGTCTTCAGCAACCCATGCTTGCCGTAAACGGCGACTATTCTTGTCGTAAGAGGCGACTAACGGGATCGGGTGGTCAGGCTCGCTGACTAGGTTGATGCATGTCATCGTATCCCAATAATGTGGATCGATGCTCTATCAGTGGATTGTCTGGTCCAGACTCGATTATTTACAGATTGCCGTCATACAGCTGGAATATTGCTGAGTGCGGCGTTAGATAAAGACAATACACATATACACGTATATATGTCACGTTTCTATCCTTACTCAATTTAGCCATAATGCAATTTATAAGTATTTGATAATGTCCAAAGTTCAAACCTTGAAAGTGTAAGATAGGAAACAGGTCAGCTGTTAGTCTGTTTCGCAGTCGCTGAACCATTTTATTTCCCCTTCCACCCATGATCCCTTACTGCTATGCTATATGAACATGTTTAGATTTTCCTCATGTTCATCTGACGTGGACTTCTTTTAAATATTTAATGGACCCGTGAAGATCCGGGGTAGAATAGGTCTTCAGCAACCCAAGCTTGCTGTAAAAGGCGACTATGCTTGTCGTAAAAAGCGACTAACACGATCGTGTGGTCAGACTCGCTGACTTGGTTGATGCATGTCATCGTATCCCAATAGCGTGGATCGATGCTCATGATGTCAACCACTGGATTGTCTGGTCCAGATTCGATTATTTACGGACTGCCGTCATATAGCTGGAATATTGCTGAGTGCGGCGTTGTGGACAACAAACAAACAAACAAACACATATTTAATGGACTATTTTTTGTTTGTATCAAAAATAAATATTTTTTAGAGATTGAACGTTAGTCTGTAATTGTCATAACAACATTTCAAAGTTTCCGCAACTTAAAATTGACATTTCCTGTGAGCCAAAATATCCCTTACCCTAATGGTCCTTTGTACGGTAAGGACGATAAGGGGACAGTAGATGCTATATCTATGCGTTGGGGTTGTAACGCCGCTCTAAACAGTATTCCATTTACATCACGGCGTGTCAGCTTGAAGTGGGAGGAAAGCCCTAAGTAAAACAGTTCTCAGACGTTTACCACTTTGGAGAAACCCATTAGCATGGGTAGGGATATGCTGACAAACCTCGAAAAATAATCGGGGTAAACCGGGATTCGAACCTACGATCATAAGTTTCCTGCATGCCCGAGGGACGCAACTCTGAACAGCTAATTGCGGCGCCTTAGACGAGAGGGCCATCCTTGCCCCTAACACTATCTGACCGCCTCCGTGGTCTAATGGTAGAGCGTCCGCCCGGAGAGCGGAAGGTCCGGGGTTCGATCCCAAGTCGCGTCATACCAAAAGACGTTAAAAGATGGTACTTGTTGTTACCCTGTCTGGCGCTCGGCATTAAGGGGCTATAACAAGGACTGGTCGGCTCAGAGTCAGTATACTGTGTCTGAGTGGGGTATTCATTTTAAGCTGCGGCATGGTATCTCAGTGTGCTAGCACTATAAATCGGCATCAGTCCGGACTAGTACAAGCAGCCACACACACACACATACACGTGCATGCACGTCGCTATATAAGTGCAATAATCTTGGATGCGACGTTAAACCCCATTTCACCTCACCTAACACTATCTATGAGTGGTTAAGGTGACCCTATTATATATATTAGAGTAAATTTCTATATAAAGACGTACGTAGCGTTTTTTACTCATCGGTCTCCTGTAGTGGCCGTAGTACTTCTTGTAGTCATCCATCCACACCTCTACAACACGGGCGTTGTTTGCCTCGCCGGCCACGAAGGCCCCTTCACGGAGTCCCCGGTAGCTGCTGTGGCTGTGAAACACGTGACCGACACGTGAACAGATGGGCGTCTCAATCCGCCCGCCGCACATCCAGATCTGATGAAGTATTCATGGTAGTATCGTTATCGACAGGAGAGGTAATTACGACATGGGCGTCTCAATCCGCCCGCCGCACATCCAGATCTAATGAAGTATTCATGGTAGTATCGTTATCGACAGGAGAGGTAATTACGACATTGGCGTCTCAATCCGACCGCCGCACATCCAGATCTGATGAAGTATTCATGGTAGTATCGTTATCGACAGGAGAGGTTATTACGACATAATTATAAGCTGAGGTCATCATGTAATTTCACGCTGTTTCAGTATATTTTCAACCGTTGACCATAAACCTAAACAGTCTTCCAAATTGAGATATCGCTTGAGGGTAAGTTTAAGAAATATCTCGTTGTACCATATGCATTGTGATGTCATCGGATAGACGGCTGTGTGTTAAAATCTGCGAAATCTGGTTCTCCCAAGGGACGCAACTCTCCACAGTAAATTACGGTGCCTTAGAAGACAGCACCTCCCGCTCCCCATTGATGTTAGTAGGGAACATAATCAATCAATGACACTAACTTAAAACAGCAATAACAACTTGACAGCAGTGTTTTTAGAATTTTACAATGCATTTCCAATTTGCTTGTCTTGTGGTGGCATTTGCTAGATATAAGGGTGGGGCAACTCCTATGACAATTCCTCTTGGCCCGGAGTGAGTGAGTGAGTGAGTATGGTTTTACGCCGCTTTTAGCAATATTCCAGAAATACATTGTACCCATGTCGGGAATCGAACCTGGGTCTTCGGCGTGACGAGCCCGGAAGAGTTGAATATCGACCCGTGAAGATCCGGGTTAGAATATGTCTTCAGCAATGTATGCTTGTGGTAAGAGGCGACTAGCGGGATCGGGTGGTCAGGCTCACTGATTTGGTTGATGCAAGTTATCGTATCTCAATTGCGTGGGTCGATGCTCATGATATCAATCACTGGATTGTCTGGTCCAGATTCGATTATCTACATACCACCGTCATACAGCTTGAATATTGCTGAGGGCGGTGTTAAACAACAAACAAACAAAATATCAATGCATAAAATATAGGGATGAGGAAGTTGAACTTCTATATTATGAGGAACACAACGTTTATACTCCGAAACGGTGTGTTCCTCATAATAAAGGACTTGACATCCATAAATTCTCTACCTCCTGTGTATTACTTCTAAATGGCTCAAAGACGTACAAAAAGTGAATTGCTTTACTAGAAATTCTTAACAAACATTAGAAAAAAATACTTTGAGAATACGAGAATGTTTCACCCAAAACGATGTCACACAGTATAGACTCACCTTAAACGACATCTCAATATTCTCCCCGCCCCAGATCTTCATCCCCGGGTCAAATCCTCCCAGAAGATCGAAATACTCCCGGGTGATGGAGAAGAGGCCCCCCGCCATTGCTGGGGATCTGTGATGTGTAAGAAGTTGAATGTCAAGTCGATTATGCATCACACGTAATGGTGAGGTGAGGTGAAATGGGGTTTAACGTCGCGTTCAAGATTATTGCACTTATATAGCGACGTGCATGCACGTGTGTGTGTGGCTGCTTGTACTTGACCGGACTGATGCCGATTTATAGTGCTAGCTCACTGAGATACCATGCCGCAGTTTAACATAAATACCCCACTCAGACACAGTATACTGACTCCGAGCCGATCAGTCCTTGTTTTAGCCCCTTAATGCCGAGCGTCAGACAGGGTAACAACAAGTACCATCTTTTAACGTCTTTTGGTATGACGCGGCCGGGGATCGAACTCCGGACCTACCGCTGTCCGGGCGGACGCTCTACCACTAGACCACGGAGGCGGTCTACACGTAATGGAACCGTGTGTTATTACGTTGAGTGTATTTATCCATGAAGGTAACAGGATGAACACGCCCAAACCGAATATGAGCACTGGCGGTTTGGAGAATCAGGGCCGATCAAACAAGGAACGAACTCGAGACAAGGCATGAACACTTGACATGCCTTTGCATGTGTTTGTGACGGTGCGACTGGTGGGGCAGGATACGTTCACCTTTTCGCGAACATCTGGTATCATCACTATTTGATTGTCACACACATGTCATGTATACCGTATTTAATTATAAGCTTAATTTAGGAGGACAATACTACGTAACACAGGTCGTAAATGTTTCCACTTTAGGAAACACGGTAACACGGTAATACAGCGCTGACAAACCAAGGTTCATGCTCAGGACGGGTCGGGGATTCAAACCCATGATTTGAAACGACCAAGGAACGCAACTCTTGACATAAACCGCCGCCTATGATCCTATGATTCAAACAAGCTGTCAATTGATTCAATTTGTGTGTACAAATACACATCGATACATAACAAAACTAAATATATCACCTGACAGGCTCCAGCTTGCTCTTCCTCCGTTTCTTCTCTCTTGGGGGCTGAAGTCGCCAGCCAAACTGCAGTGTCGGGAACTCCACCACCCCTACCAACACATCTGGCCCCACACCAATGCCGAAGTCGTTCCTGTCGATGCTGTCAATACAGGGCGTGGTCACCACCTTGGGGTCCGTGGCTAGAGGGGTCAGCAGGGGCTCAAGCCACCCTGAAGTCATTATGGCGACGTTTGTATTTCTACTCAATACATAATGATGTACACCTTGATGTAAACTGACACACCTTGATCTAAACTGACACACAATGATGTAAACTGACACACAATGATGTAAACTGACACACAACGATGTAAACTGACACACCTTGATGTAAACTGACACACAACGATATAAACTGACACACAATGATGTAAACTGACACACCTTGATGTAAACTGACACACCTTGATGTAAACTGACACACAATGATGTAAACTGACACACCTTGATGTAAACTGACACACAACGATATAAACTGACACACCTTGATGTAAACTGACACACAATGGTGTAAACTGACACACAATGGTATTAACTGACACACCTTGATGTAAACTGACATACAATGATGTAAACTGACACACAATGATGTAAACTGACACACAATGATGTAAACTGACACACCTTGATGTAAACTGACACACAACGATATAAACTGACACACCTTGATGTAAACTGACACACAATGGTGTAAACTGACACACCTTGATGTAAACAGGCACACAATGATGTAAACTGACACACAATAGTATTAACTGACACACCTTGATGTAAACTGACACACCTTGATGTAAACTGACACACCTTGATGTAAACTGACACACAATGGTGTAAACTGACACACAACGATGTAAACAGGCACACAATGATGTAAACTGACACACCTTGATGTTAACTGACACACAATGATGTAAACTGACACACAATGGTATTAACTGAAACACCTTGATGTAAACTGACACACAATGATGTAAACTGACACACAATGATATTAACTAACACACCTTGATGTAAACTGACACACAATGGTGTAAACTGACACACCTTGATGTAAACAGGCACACAATGATGTAAACTGACACACAATGGTATTAACTGACACACCTTAATGTAAACTGACACACAATGATGTAAACTGACACACAACGATGTAAACTGACACACAATGATATAAACTGACACACCTTGATGTAAACAGGCACACAATGATGTAAACTGACACACAATGGTATTAACGGACACACCTTGATGTAAACTGACACACAATGATGTAAACTGACACACCTTGATGTAAACTGACACACAATGATGTAAACTGACACACAATGATGTAAACGGACACACCTTGATGTAAACTGACACACCTTGATGTAAACTGACACACAATGATTTAAACTGACACAATGATGTTAACGGACACACCTTGATGTAAACTGACACACCTTGATGTAAACTGACACACCTTGATGTAAACTGACACACAATGATTTAAACTGACACAATGATGTTAACGGACACACAATGGTATAAAGTGACACAATGGTATAAACTGACACAATGATGTAAACGGACACACGGTGGTATAAACTGACCATGATGTAAACGGACACATAATGGTATAAACTGACAATGATGTAAACGGACACACAGGGGTCATGAACATGACGGTGTACAGTTTCAGTAACTCTAGAACAATACAAGTCCTCCCAGCCATCCAGATTACCTGGGAAACATTCACAGTGTGAGTCCAGGAATGTGATGACGGGCGCCGTGGTGTAGTTGTAGCCCAGCGTCCTCGCCACCATCAGCCCCAGCCCCTTTGTGGCTCGGACTATCTGCACCTTGGGGAACCGAGCCATGTACACGTCCAGCGGCCTGCCCAGAAAATCTGGAAATGGAGAATCCGTATACGTACTCGATTCTTATTGGTTAATCAGAGGTTTCAAACCGCAGTTACAACCTCGGATTAACACAGCTGACGGCTGACGGCGATCTGACGGCCGAATGTTATTATAGGAGTCTGTTCTTAAACATTATCGGTACTGGCATTTTTAAATAATTGTATAATGTAGGTTAAAAATGCCAAAGTATGGTTCCTAGAATAATTAAAGTATATGTGGCGGTGCATTTGAATAGGAAACACTTTGAAAAACGAAAGCACAAGTTGTAGAGATACGAAAGTTCTTGAGACACGACGTGTCACTTTTTCAGACTGATTTGGTCACCATGTTCAGACCCTCTGCCTAAAGAACGTTCTGACGTCACCGAAGCATTTTGCCGTGTACAAATAAATCTTGCATGGTTCAGTCAAACTCTCTCTCTCTCTCCCTGTCTCTCTCTCTCTCTCTCTCTCTCTCTCTCACACACACAGACACACACACACACACAAACACGCACGCCCGCACGCACGCACGCACGCACGCACGCACGCACGCACGCACGCACGCACGCACGCACGCACGCACGCACGCACACACACACGCACACACATAACCACCATTGCCTGTCACGAACAGCGCACCTACCCCATGACGAGCCATCGTCGACGAGGATCACCTCCTTCACCAGGTGCGGCGTGGTGTTGTCATGGATACTGTGAACCAGCCTTAGCAACGTTGACCACGCCTCGTTGACGAAACAGATGATGATGCTGGTCTGGGGGAGACCGGCGGAGGAGTAACGCTCGGCACAGCTGCATTGTGTGAGTAAATATATTATTGCACCGAAGACATGTATATACATGAACATTTCTGAAGCAATGAATGACAGTGTTTGTTTGTTTGTTTGTTGTAAACGCCGCACTCGGCAATACTCCAGCTATATGACGGCGGTCTGTAAATAATAGAGTGTTAACCAGACAATCCAGGGACTGACATCATGAGCATCGATCCACGCAATTGGGATACGATGACATGCATAAACCAAGTCAGCGAGTCTTACCACACGATCCCGATAGTCGCCTCTTACGACAAGCATAGTCGCCTCTTATGACAAGCATGGGTTGCTGATTCTAATTCGGATCTTCACGGGTCGTTCGTTCGTTCGTTCGTTCGTGAGTGAGTGTTTAACGCCGTAATTCGTCTTCCAACTACATGTATGTAATGGCGACAATAAAATGAAGAGTTCCCGGGCAAAGACAAGCACAAATTAATTTGACCTTAGGTTTTGGATGATGTAATTTTATAAAAAGAATATTGTGCGGCTGGAAAAATACTAAACCCATCTATCTGGAAATTAATCGAATCGTGAATCCATTAAAACATTTATTTGTAAATATGTTATCTACAACCATGGATACGTAATATGAAACACCGTATGTGAAAAAGTCATTTGTAAACCGTGCTTCTGTGAACCCCGTATCCGTAAATCAACCTTCCAAACCAATCATCTGGACCCCTTACCCCTCCAATCTTGGATCTCTCAGTCTCCGTCTCACGCCGATGATGTTGCTGACGTATTCATTCATGGCGTTCTTTCTGAAGGCAGTTTCATACTTCATTTGCTCCTCTGGGGGTAACCTTTGAGGGTCTATTTTAAACGCTTTACCGCCATCGCCTACAAGATATAAATGTTCCATAAGTATAACGTCATCTGGAAACTGGACTTTTAAAGTCAGTTAACTCCCTTGCCTCGGGGGTATGGTATAACGTTAAATGACCATTTAAATCTAAGTTATTAAAAAATCAAGCTCCTACCTCTAGCTCGTAGAAATGGTGATAAAACTTTTTTTTCCAGCTGATCTCACACACAGTGATTTTCATATAACCAAGTGCAGAGGGTAGGTGAGTGAGTGAGTGAGTGACAGAGGTTTTACGCGGGTTTTAGCAATGCTGCAATATGACGACGGGGGACGCCAGATGTTCATTAGGATTGATATGTCATCTTTAATGATGATGTCCATAATGAAATAGTTGAATGTATACTCCAAATGGAAATATCTGTCGGCAACATCAAGTTTAATTTCCTTGGCGATGTACATTTTCGTTCAGATCGTCTTGACCGGGCGCCGCCATTTTGTTTGAAGCCAATAGAGGGGACATAACTCTTAATAGCCACTGGTGGCGCTACGATCGAGCCTGGAAATTCCAGCCTAGTTCGGCAAGGGTGGAAACTGGACGATGGGCGATGTAGTGGCCTGTTTATTGTTGCATTATTCCAGCAGCATTATTCAAGCTATATGACGACGGTCTGTAAATAATCATGTCTTGACCAGACAATCCTTAGCCTTTAGTTGGGATTGAAAGAAGACAAGAAAAACAAGTAATAATGGTGATGTGATCTTGTGTTGACAGACTGTGACGTACCAGCATTTGTAATATTGAAAAGTTGTCGCACAACATCAAAGTCTGGTTCATTAGGCATGGGTTCAGGAGGCAAGTCACCTCTGAACACAACCGTAGCGTTGCCGGCGTCATCTTTAACGTTCCTCTCAACGTCGCCTACTCCGGCTTTCTTGGACGAATACGCCTTGTGCACTTTGTTGTCCCCGTGACGCTTTGCGGGACCCACCCTTCCTGTCGCTATTCTGTATTCCTCCCTTGGAAAGAAGTCTCCCCTGATCCTCGGCCAGGACGATCCTTCACCATCCAGGTGTGTCCACATCAGATAAGTCACTCCAACCCACAGCAACACAACTGTCAGAAAGTACACGCCACGTCTGCGTCGAAAACTTGATAGCATTTTGAGGATGAACATGAATGCCCTGACGACGACGATGGAAAAACCTGAGTGTAATAATAAAAAAAACAAATGAAATTTCATTGCTGAGGTACGTCTACGCAATACAGGTTTAGGTTTGTCATTGCAGGTGTGGGGGTTTGTCATTGCAGGTGTGGGGGTTTGTCATTGCAGGTGTGGGGGTTTTCATTACAGGTATGAAGGTTTGTCTTTACAGGTGTGGGGGTTTGTCATTACAGGTGTGGGGGTTTGTCATTAAAAGTGTGGGGGTTTGTCATTACAGGTGTGGGGGTTTGTCATTGCAGGTGTGGGGGTTAGTCATTACAGGTGTGGGTGTTTGTCATTGCAGGTGTGGGGGTTTTCATTATAGGTATGAAGGTTTGTCCCTACGGGTGTGGGGGTTTGTCATTACAGGTGTGGGGGTTTGTCATTACAGGTGTGGGGGTTTGTAATTGCAGGTGTGGGGGTTAGTCATTACAGGTATGAAGGTTTGTCTTTACAGGTGTGGGTGTTTTGTTATTACAGGTGTGGGGGTTTGTCATTACAGATGTGGGGGTTAGTCATTGCAGGTGTGGGTGTTTGTCATTGCAGGTGTGGGTGTTTGTCATTGCAGGTGTTGGGGTTTTCATTATAGGTATGAAGGTTTGTCTTTACGGGTGTGGGGGTTTGTCATTACAGGTGTGGGGGTTTGTCATTACAGGTGTGGGGGTTTGTAATTGCAGGTGTGGGGGTTAGTCATTACAGGTATGAAGGTTTGTCTTTACAGGTGTGGGTGTTTTGTTATTACAGATGTGGGGGTTTGTCATTACAGATGTGGGTGTTTGTCATTACAGGTGTGGGGGTTAGTCATTGCAGGTGGGGTTGTTTGTCATTGCAGGTGTTGGGGTTTTCATTACAGGTATGAAGGTTTGTCTTTACGGGTGTGGGGGTTTGTCATTACAGGTGTGGGGGTTTGTCATTACAGGTGTGGGGGTTTGTCATTGCAGGTGTGGGGGTTAGTCATTACAGGTATGAAGGTTTGTCTTTACAGGTCTGGGTGTTTTGTTATTACAGGTGTGGGGGTTTGTCATTACAGGTGTGGGTGTTTGTCTTTACAGGTGTGGGTGTTTGTCATTACAAGTGTGGGGGTTTGTCATTACAGGTGCGGGGGTTTGTCATTACAGGTGCACGGATTATCCTGAATATTTTTACCTATGAGAGAAAACCTCCCGTGGTCCGAAAGCAAAGAGATTTTTTTGGCGTGTGATGAGATTTTGCTTACTTTCGGAGACATTTCATCTTCACACTTGAAACTGTATTTGATTTTCGGTAATTGTGACTCTAAAAATGTTGCAAGTAATATTACCAGATTATATAGATATATCCTCGGATATCCTATTTTCGAACATTAATTATTCCACTGCGAATACATGTATTTAAAAATATTGGCATTAGTATTAACAAAACATTACATGTGACTTATATTTCTTTTTATTGTCTACTTTAGGAGAAATGACACTCATTTTTATGTATTTCTGTTCATTGTCGACTTGATGGGGAATTATTCGCGAGGACAATTATAGATCATTTAGGAGGCATGTTTACCACCATCAGCTATTCATTTCGTTAGCATGCAGGAGACAATCTGCAGTTCAATCTTTTTAGAGTGATGACATGAAATAGCGACTGTTGATGCGTTCTGTTGTATTTGTTTGTTTGTTTGTTTTTTAACGCCGCACTCAGCAATATTCCAGCTATATGACGGCCGTCTGTAAAATAATCGAGTCTGGACCAGACAATCCAGTGATTGACATCATGAGCATCGATCCACGCCTGACCACCCGATCACGTTAGTCGCGACAAACATAGTCGCCTTTTACAGCAAGTATGGGTTGCTGAAGACCTATTCTACCCCGGAATCTTCACGGGTCCGTTCTGTTGTAGGTGTGGTGATGACACACAAAGGACTATTATTAGGGCGTATCAGGGATACGAACACATGATTAGCCTACTGCGGACCGTCAGACCACTGGCCCACTCAGTGGAGGGCAGGGCGTATACATGGACCACTGTAACGAAAACGCACCGAACTAGGAATGCTGTAGACAGGTCTACGGTGACGGAAGACACAGCTGTGACCAGTCCGGGGTCACCCTGACCTACAATGTCAGGATACCTCCCACTATCGATCGACCCGTGAAGACCCGCTGACTTGGTTGATGCATGCCATCGTAGATCGATGCTCATGAAGTCACTCACTGGATTGTCTGGTCCAGACTCAATCATTTACAGACCGCCGTCAAATAGCTGGAATATTGCTGATAGCGGCGTTAAACAACAAACAAACAAACCCACTATCGATCACCGGTTTCACTGATCAAGACTCCATTGCCCGCTGTGATACATATTGATGACAAAGGAATACAATCTCTCACCTGATTTAACGAACACCGTTGTGCTACTAGAAAAATAATAAGGCATGGTGTAATGAAATTTTTAATAGAATTATCATAAGACAATTGTTCGGAATACATACCTAAAACACGTCCATCCGGACACGCGTCCTCCTCGCGTCACAGTGGCGTCAAAGTTGCCATTCCGACCCCAGTACCACAAACGGACGATTCACTGAGGTTAACTTAACACTGTCTATCAACAAGGGTGCCCATGCTGCGTCGACTAAACATTACCTTATAATTCACCAGGAGAAGTCACTAACCTAATTTGTCTATGAGAACAGCAACGCAGCCACGGTTAAGAAAAGCGTTGCTGTGCCGTAGTCTCATCAATAAAGGGCGTGTCCAACACGTGTTACTTGTACGATTATTGATTGCTTTTGAAAATTTATTTTATTAGCACGAAAAGTGCACGATTCTAGGAATAACACACTCTGAGTTTATTGATGTTTAGTGAGTGAGTATGGTTTTACGCCGCTTTTAGCAATATTCCAGCAATATCACGGCGGGGGACACCAGAAATGGGCTTCACACATTGTACCCATGTCGGGAATCGAACCCGGGTCTTCGGCGTGACGAGCGAACGCTTTAACCACTAGGTTACCCGCCCGCCCTTATTGATGTTTAGAAACAAGAGGCGCCGATGATTACATTACCTATGTTGGGCCGTAGAAAACTATATTACCTATATTGGCCCGTGGAAGACAATGTATTGGCCAATGGAAGACTATATTACCTGTATTGGCCCATGGAAGACTATATTACCTGTATTGGTCAGTGGAAGACTATATTACCTGTATGGGCCGTGGAAGACTATATTACCTGTATTTACCAGTGGAAGACTATATTATCTATATTGGCCCATGGAAGATTATATTACATGTATGGGCCCATGGAAGACTATATTACCTGTATTCACCAGTGGACGACTATATTACCTGTATGGGCCGTGGAAGACTATATTACCTGTATTGGCCCGTGGAAGACTATATTATCTATATTGGCCCATGGAAGATTATATTACCTGTATTGGCCAGTGAAAGACCATATTACCTGTATTGGCCAGTGGAAAACTATATTACCTGTATTGGCCCGTGGAAGACAATGTATGGGCCCATGGAAGACTATATTACCTGTATTGGCCCATGGAAGACTATATTACCTGTATTGGTCAGTGGAAGACTATATTACCTGTATGGGCCCGTGGAAGACTATATTACCTGTATTTACCAGTGGAAGACTATATTATCTATATTGGCCCATGGAAGATTATATTACATGTATGGGCCCATGGAAGACTATATTACCTGTATTCACCAGTGGACGACTATATTACCTGTATGGGCCGTGGAAGACTATATTACCTGTATTGGCCCGTGGAAGACTATATTATCTATATTGGCCCATGGAAGATTATATTACCTGTATTGGCCAGTGAAAGACCATATTACCTGTATTGGCCAGTGGAAAACTATATTACCTGTATTGGCCAGTGGAAAGCTATATTACCTGTATTGGCCCTTGGAAGACTACATTACCTGTATTGGCCCATGGAAGACTATATTACCTGTATTGGCCCATGGAAGACTATATTACCTGTATTGGCCCATGGAAGACTATATTACCTGGATTGGCCCATGGAAGACTATATTACCTGTATTGGCCCATGGAAGACTATATTACCTTGATTGGACAATGGAAGACTATATTACCTGTATTGGCCTGTCGAACGTAACAACAAAACAGGTAAACAAATTAGGTCAGAGTGCGTTGCACAGCCGGGCTATCGACCACCAGCAAAGCTGTTCAACTCTTCTGCTTTTAAAAGTGCCCGGTATTGATTTCAGCCATATTTGAAGTGTCTGCAGTACAAATGATATTTTCACATTAAGCCATTGGACGAATCCATAAATATTGATGAGTGAGTGAGTGAGCGGACGCATCCATAAATAATAATGAGTGAGTGAGTGAGTGAGTGAGTGAGTGAGTTAGGTTTAAGCCACTTTCAGCAAAATTCCAGCAATATCACGGCGTGGGACACCAAAAATGAGATTCACACATTTTACAACACGAGCGTGTGAAATACCCTTTTTTCACAAAATGGTTGTACTTTTCTGCTAAAAAGTAATTACTACACGCACGTGCGTTTAAAAAAATAAGCCAGCTTCTGTTTGTTTGTCATATGCTTTCATGTTTTCAAGGTTTTCGATATATGTCTTACAATATATTTTAGGCATACAGAAGGAATACTTGGTCCGTTGTGTTGTTATGTACGGTAGTGTCCAACAGCTGTTCCGCTGTATCAATGTATCAGCGATAATGTGAGACATACGTTACCAGATCGAAGAAGCTATAACAATGGTATGCCTGTTACGGTCTCCTTATAAGCAAGCTTAATATTTTGAGTAGGATGTGAAGAAGAACCTTATTTATGAGTGTATAAAACGAGCTCACAAAACAGATACCACTTTTTAAAGGTGGGGTTAAATGGAGTTTAACGTCGAGTTCAAGATTATGGCACTTATATAGCGTGTGTGCGTGCATGCGTGCGTATCTTCTTGTACCAGTCCTTGTTTTATCCCACATAATGCCGAGCACCAGGGCAGAGCAACAACAAGTACCATCCTTTAACGTGTTTTGGTATGACGCGGTAAAGAATCGCACCACCGACCTGACCCGTGAAGGTCCGGGGTAGAATAAGTCTTCAGCACACCATGATTGCCATAAAAGGCGACTATGCTAGTCGAAAGAGGCGAATAACGGGATCGGGTGGTCAGGCTCGCTGACTCGGTTGATGCTTGTCATCGATCACAATTGCGTGGATCGATTATTTACAGACCGCCGTCATATAGCTGGAATATTGCTGAGTGCGGCGTTAAACACCAAACAAACAAACAAACAAACAAACAAACAAACAACCGACCTTCCGCTCTCCGGGCGGAAGCTTTATCCACTAGACTATGGAGGCGGTCCATATTTTAAACTCGACAATTGCCCGTCTTTTCATGACTCTTTTGTTCTGTTTGTTGCTTAAAGCTACAACATTCCATCTATACGACGGTTATCGAATAATCGAGTCTCGACCCAAAAATCCAGTGATTGAATCATGAGCATCGATCTACGCAGTCGGGATGCGACATGCAATGAGTCTGACAACTCGATCCCGTTAGTTGGCTCGTACGACAATAGGTTGCTAGGAACCAGTTCTGTAACCCGGATTCCTACGAGTGTTCGTTATCATGTAGTTCGTATTTTGATATCGATATTCTGGCCACAAAATAAGTAAATGTGTCGTGACACTTCATTTATTTATTAGGGAATATATTAGATATCCTATATATCGTAGATATCCTCCTCCTCTTCCAAACAAGGGGGCCCAGGTGGCCCAGTCGTCTAAGGCGCCGCAATACGCTGTGAAGAGTTGCGTCCCTTTGGCAGGTCAGAAGCCTATAATCGTGCGTTCGAATCCCTCTTCGCCATGATTATGTTTCTAGGTTTGTCAGCACCATATCCGTGCTCGTGGTGTCACCGAAGTCGTAAACGTCCGAATCCTGCATCACTTCGGGCTTTCCTCAAACATCAAGCTGACGCGCCGTGATACAACTGGAATACTGCTAATAGCAGCGTTAAATTAAACTCAACTTACTAACTCCTATCACGAGTGTATCTTGTATAGACCTCCTGCTCAAACCAAGGTGCATATCCATTATACACCTGTTTTGACCTGGGAATATCCCGTGTATTGACCTCCTGCGCCAACCATTGACCTACTGTTCCAAAGGAGGTGTATATCGTATGTTAACCTCCCGCTCCAACCGGGCAGTACATGTTATACAGACCTCCTTCTCCGACCCGGGATTACATGCTACACAGACCTCCTTCGTGGACCCGGGATTACATGCTACACAGACCTCCTTCGTGGACCCGGGATTACATGTTACATAGACCCCCTTCTCTGACCCGGGATTACATAGTTTATAGACCTCCTTCTCTGACCCGCTATTACATGCTACACAGACCTCCTTCGTGGACCCGGGATTACATGCTACACAGACCCCCTTCTCTGACCCGGGATTACATGGTTTATAGACCTCCTTCTCTGACCCGCTATTACATGCTACACAGACCTCCTTCGTGGACCCGGGATTACATGTTACACAGACCTCCTTCTCTGACCCGGGATTACATGTTATACAGATCTCCTTCGTGGACCCGGGATTACACGTTATACAGACCTCCTTCTCTGACCCGGGATTACATGTTATACAGACCTCCTTCTCCGATCTGTTTCAAATATGATCTTGCAATCTAAGTTAAAGCTGCCTATGTGAATGTAGGGGACACATATGGCCCTGTTGTCCAAGGTGCAACAGGTCGTGTGATCCGTGATCACATGTTCGAAACCCGCTTTGTACTGAAAATGTTTTTAGGTTTGTCACTTGTGCTCCTGGGTTTCAACAGGGTGACAAATGTCCAAGACCTGTACCACTTCCTCCTACACCAACCCACATTGTCGTTGTAATATTATTGAAATCCTATTAAAAAATAACTGAAGTACTGTTTTCTCACTTACTCTTCCCATGTAGTGCAGAGTGTGTGGTAGTATAAAACAATTGCACACCTTAGACCGGGTTCAATTCCTCACTTTGGTAGGTTAATATTGCTGGAATATTGCTTGAAAATCGAGGATTCCTGGTAATGGGTCTCATCTGCAGCATGTACGACAAACTTTATCTGACCTGCAGCCTGAACCCAGGTCAGTCTTCATTCCACCACCCATTCAACCACCACCTAGGACTGTGTTCCACTAAAGGTATCTGTAGAATCACCACCAAGAACAGTGTTCCACTACAGGCATCTGTAGAACCACCACCTTGGGCAGTGTTCCACTACAGCCATCTGTGGAACCACCACCCAGAACAGTGTTCCACTACAGGCATCTGAAGAACCACCACCTAGGACAGTGTTCCACTCCAGGCATCTGTAGAATCACCACCCAGGACAGTGTTCCACTCCAGGCATCTGTGGAACCTCCACCCAGGAGAGTGTTCCACTACAGGCATCTGTAGAACCACCACCCAGGACAGTGTTCCACTACAGGCATCTGTAGAACCACCACCTAGGAGAGTGTTCCACTACAGGCATCTGTAGAACCACCACCCAGGAGAGTGTTCCACTAAAGGTATCTGTAGAACCACCACCCAGGACAGTGTTCCACTACAGGCATCTGTAGAACCACCACCCAGGAGAGTGTTCCACTACAGGCATCTGTAGAACCACCACCCAGGACAGTGTTCCACTCCAGGCATCTGTAGAACCTCCAC